GACCCTCTTTAGTTTTTATACTTAGAGTGGTCTTGTTGGTTCCTGCTTGCTTGCTTGCTTGCTTTCTGCACTTGACCTCCGGGATCTGGACTATTGAAGACCTCTTGGGTTTTTCTGCTGAGAGTGGTCTTGCTAGTTCCTGCTTCTTTCTTTCTTTCTTTTTTTCTTTTTTGCTTTTTGAGATAGAGTCTTGCTCTGTTGCCAGGAGCCAGGCTGGAGTGCAGTGGTGCTACCTTGGCTCACTGCAACCTCCACCTCCCAGGTTCAAGAAATTCTCCTGCCTCAGCCTCGTGAGTAGCGGGGACTACAGGCACGTGCCGCCACACCAGCTAATTTTTGTATTTTAGTGGAGACTGGGTTTCACCGTATTGGCCACGATGGTTTCGATCTCTTGACCTCGTGATCTGCCTGTCTTGGCCTCCCAAAGTGTTGGAATTATAGGCGTGAGCCACCGTGCCTGGCACTTCTTTCTCTCTTTTCTTTTCTTTTCCTTCCTTCCCTTTCCCTCTCCCTTTCCCTTTCCTTTCTTTCTGTATTTGACCTCCAGGATTAAGCAATTGTCCCACCTCAGCCTCCTGAGTAGCTGGGACTACAGTGCCTCCACGCCTGGCTAATTTTTTTTTTTTTTTTTTTATTTTTTGTAGAGACAGGGTCTTGCTATGTTGCCCAGGCTGGTCCGGAGCTCCTGGCCTCAAGCGATTCCCCTGTCTTAGACTCCAGAGTGCTGGGATTATAGATGTGAGCCGTTGCACCCAGCCCAGTCCCTGCTGCTTATGTTTGTTCACGCTGCTGGGAACACCCTCCTCTCTGCACTCCATGTTTGAGTCCTGCCAGCTTTGTGAGGCCTATTGGAGGGAGAACACTGCAGAACCTCCCAGTAGCCCAGGCATCACCAGCTCCCCTTTTTGATGCCTTGAAGCACATGCACTATTTGGACATTGATTTAATTTTAGCATCTTTTCTTGAGTTCTTAGATGACGTCAGGTATGTAAGTCTGTGAGCCCACCAAGGTTGTGGGAGGCAGAGACTGCCTGGTTCATTTGTGCCTTCCGTGGGATGTCACACGTGCTCACATGCTGGCTTTGTTGATGGTTAAGTTGAACTTGTCCTCTCCTGGGTTGCTGTGTGCCAGGGAGTGTTTCCTTGTCTTCCTTTTTTTTTTGGGTGGGGGAACGGAGTCTCTCTCTCTCACCCAGGTTGGAGTGCAGTGGCACGATCTCGACTCATTGTAGTCTCTGCCTCCTGGTTTCAAGCGATTCTCCTGCTTCAGCCACACCTGGCTAATTTTTTTTTTTTTTTTTTTTTTTTGAGACGGAGTTTCACTCTTGTTACCCAGGCTGGAGTGCAATGGCGCGATCTCAGCTCACCGCAACCTCCGTCTCCTGGGTTCAAGCAATTCTCCTGCCTCAGCCTCCCGAGTAGCTGGGACTACAGGCGTGTGCCACCATGCCCAGCTAATTTTTGTGTTTTTAGTAGAGACGGGGTTTCGCCATGTTGACCAGGATGGTCTCAATCTCTTGACCTCGTGATCCACCTGCCTCGGCCTCTCAAAGTGCTGGGATTACAAGCGTGAGCCACCGCGCCCGGCCACAATTTTTGTATTTTTAGTAGAGATGGGGTTTCACCATGTTGGCCAGGCTGGTCTTGAACTCCTGACCACAGGTGATCCACCTGCCTTGGCCTCCCAAGGTGCTGGGATTACAGGTGTGAGCCACTTTTCTTTTTTTTTTTTTTTTTTTTTTAGAGTTTTGCTCTTGTTGCCCAGGCTGGAGTGCAATGGCATGCTCTTGGCTCACCGCAACCTCTGCCTCCTGGGTTTAAGTGAGTCTCCTAGTCTCAGCCTCCTGAGTAGCTGGGGTTACACACATCCACCACCACACCTGGCTAATTTCATATTTTTTACTAGAGATGGGGTTTCTCCATGTTGGTCAGGCTGGTCTTGAACTCCCGACCTCAGGTGATCTGCCTGCCTCAGCCTCCCAAAGTGCTGGGATTACAGGTGTGAGCTACTGTACCCGGCCCCACTTTTCTTGTTTTCTTTTCTTTTCTTTTTTGAGATGAAGTTTCGCTGTGTCACTCAGACTGGCGTGCAGTGATGTGTTCTTGGCTCTCTGCAACCTCTGCCTCCCAGATTCAAGCGATTCTCGTGCCTTAGCCTCCTGAATAGCTGGGATTACAGGCACCCACCACCATGCCTGGCTAATTTTTTTTGTATTTTTAGTAGAGTCGGGTTTTCACTATATTGGTCAGGCTGGTTTTGAACTCCTGACCTCAAGTGATCTGCCTTCTTCGGCCTGCCAAAGTGCTAGATAGGCATGAGCCACTGTGCCTGGCTGCGGCTCTCACATTCTATGAAGGCTGTGTGACCTGGAGCAGTACAGGTGACACCTGGTTTTTGGATGATCTGAGAGATGGCAGAGGTGCCGTGAGGCAGAGGAGACATTAATCTTATACTGCTGTTGCCCATTTCCCCCACCACAGACCGTGTCTCATTAGTGAATATGGGGCTTCAGGTTGATGGGTTGCTATGCACCTTTCCCATTGTCTCGTGGTTTCTGCTGCACTGAAGGGTCCTTCCCTCTCCTCTCTCTAGCACTGTAGGAGGGTGGCCCAGGACATGGGAAACCCAGGCAGCAGGGAGCCCTGCTTTACACATCTAGGCCTTTGATTTGCAAGCTGATGCCCGGGAGTGTCACCACCCCCTCTAGAGATAGTGGGGAGAACAGCTATTTCCCACCTCTGCCCTGGGTGGCCACAGCCAGTCCCAGACTTCCAGGATCCACAGAGCCAGCACCTTCTGCTGTTGACTAAGGTTTTCTTGGCAGTGAATTGGGCATGACCAGTGGGCTTTCTGGGAAGTGCAGCTGTGGGCCATCTGGTGTCTGCAGGAACACTTACGAACCCGGGGAAGATTCAGGGCTTTATCATGAAGCAAGCAAGTGAAATCATCTTCCTGGAATTTGTGGCCATTCAGACCTTGGGATGTTTGAACGTCCTCTCCCCGGAGTCCCTCTTGAGGTTACATACTGAAGCGGATTTTCCTGCTGCTGTTTGCAGGACCAGGATTCATAGTAGGTCAGGTTTTTGTGGGGTTCTCGGCATGCAGTCCCTCTGCCCCGACCCTGAAGGTTTTTCAGTCATTGAGCAGCAGAAATGTAGCTCTGGGCAGAAACGCATCTCCTCCAGCCTCAGCCTCAGTGGAGTGTGGCATCTGCCAGAGGTGCAGCTTTATGTGTGGTTAGGCCAACACTGGCCAAAGGTGGTGTGCGACCCCACCAAAGGGGATGTGTCTGATGTTGAAGGGTCATGGCTCATCATCACTTTTTTTTTTTTTTTTCTTGAAACAGTTTCATTCTTGTTGTCCAGGCTGGAGTGCAATGGCACTCTTGGCTCACTGCAACCTCTGCCTCCCAGGTTCAAGCAATTCTCCTGCCTCAGCCTCCCAAGTAGCTGGGATAACAGGCGCCTGCCACCGTACGCGACTAATTTTTTTGTATTTTTATTTTGAGTAGAGATGGGGTTTCACTATGTTGGCCAGGCCGATCTTTGAATTCCTGACCTCAGGTAATCTACCTGCCTCAGCCTCCCAAAGTGCTGGGGTTACAGGTGTGGGCCTCCGTGCCCAGCCAGGACTTATCACTCTTGAGCTCCTTTTCTCCAGCCTCTTCCTGCTCTACCTTTTGTTTCCATGTCTGATTTTGATTGATTGAGACAGGGTCTCACTGTGTCACCCAGGCTGGAATGCAAAGGCATGATCATAGGTGGAAGAACAGCCTTGGGCTCAGGCAGTCCTCCCGCCTCAGCCTGCTGAGTAGCTGGGACTACAGGCGTGTGCCACCACGTCCAGCTAATTCTAAAAAAAATTTTTTCTGAGACCAAGTCTTGCTCTGTTCAGCCAGACTGGAGTGTAGTGGCTTCATCTCTACTCACTGCAACATCTGCCTCCCAGGTTTAAGCGATTCTTCTGCCACAGCCTCCCAAGTAGCTGGGATTACAGGCATCTGCTTCACACACCCAGCTAGTTTTTATATTTTTAGTAAAGACAGAGTTTCACCATATTGGCCAGGCTGGTCTTGAACTCCTGACTTCAGGTGACCTACCTACCTCGGCCTGTCAAAGTGCTGGGATTATAGGTGTGAGCCACTGCGCCTGGCTGGAAATCGGATTTTTGAAAAGTTTCTTTTTCTGGGTGCTTTCCTTGAATAGAAAACTTGTTTATCTCCTGATTCATAAAGCAGTGTGTCTGGGCTATAATCATCTGACTCCTGCCAGACTTACTCTTGTGCAAGGTTCTTTTAGTGGTGGGCTATAGGCAGATTTTTTTTTTTCCCCTTGAGATGGAGTTTCGCTCTTGTTGCCCAGGCTGGAGTGCAATGGCATGATCTTAGCTCACCGCAATCTCCGCCTCCCCGGTTCAAGCGATTTTCCTGCCTCAGTCTCCTGAGTAGCTGGGATTACAGGCATGTGCCATCATGCCCAGCTACTTCTGTATTTTTAGTAGAGACAGGGTTTTCCATGTTGGCCAAGCTGGTCTCAAACGCTGGACCTCAGGCGATTTGCCCAGTTCGGCCTCCCAAAGTGCTGGGATTACAGGTGTGAGCTACTGCGCCCAGCCTGTAGGCAAATTTTTTTGAGGTAGAGTCATTAGAAGGTTGCCATATGGTGGCAACCCATGTGGGAACTTTTGTGAGTTTACTTGTGGAGGCTCTAAATTAGTTCTTGAGTTGTTTGGAATCACAGTGTGGGTTTATCTGTAGGTATTGACACTTCTCAAGTTGCTTAATTAGTAGACTCTTTAAGGAATAAGAGGAATGGGGGCTGAAGAAAAAATCCTTTAGCAGTGCTTGAGTTGGGCCCACTTTTTAAAATGTTCTAGAAAATCTTACATTCATAAAACCAAAACACACTCATCTTTCAGCCCCTCTTCATCCCCCAGTAACTGAGAGGGGCTTCTGCAGAAGTATTTGAGGTATAACCCTGTTGCATATTTCTTTAACTAGGTCACCATGGCTGTTACTGGCTCCCTTGCTGTCCCCAGCTGTTCCCCAGGTCACCTCCCCACCATGCTGCCTGTGTCCAGAAGGCGTGCACCGGTTCCAGTGGATCAGAAACTTGGTTCCAGAATTTGGAGTCTCCAGTTCTCATGTCAGGGTGCTTTCTTCCCCGGCAGAGTTTTTTGAGCTCATGAAGGTAAGTTGTGTCTAAAGGAAAAAAAGTTCGAGTTAGAGCTTTTGGGGGATCATGTTGGTGAGTCCTGAGTGCTTTCTAGTGTAGAAGCTGTTGCTAGCTGCTCAGCTTATTCCTTTTGGGTTTTACCTGTCAGGTTTTAGCTCATGGATGGTTGAGCTGAGCCACAGTCAGAAACTTACCTGTGGGGCCAGTGTCTCAGGTGGAGAAGCTCTGAGGAGGCAACAGTGAGAACAAGGACCTAGACTTTATTTATTTTGTTATTTTATTTTTTTGAGGTGGAATCTCCCTCTGTCACCCAGGCTGGAGTACAGTGGCGTGATCTCAGTTCACTGCAACCTCTGCTTCTGGGGTTCAAGCAGTTCCCCTGCCTCAGCCTCCCCCAAGTAGCTGGGACTATAGGAGTGCGCCACCATGCCCAGCTAATTTTTTTTGTATTTTTAGTAGAGATGAAGTTTCACCATGTTGGCCAGGCTGGTCTCGAACTCTTGACCTCGGGTGATCTGCCTGCCTTGGCCTCCCAAAGTGCCGAGATTGCAGGTGTGAGCCACTGCACCTGGCCTATTTGGTTATTTTTGAGATGGGGTCTCACTGTGTTAACCAGATGGGTCTTGAACCACTGGGATCAAGTGATCTTCCTGCCTTGGCCTCCCAAAGTACTGGCCATCCCATGTGGCCATGGGCCTAGACTTTAATTCCTTTTTTTGTTTGAAAAGGAGTCTCACTCTATCACCCAGGTTGGAGTGTAATGGCATTGTCTCGGTTCACTGCAGCCTCTGCCTCCAGGGTTTAAGTGATTCTCCTGCTTCAGCCTCCTGAGTAACTGGGACTACAGGTGCATGCCACCATACCCGGCTAATTTTTGTATTTTTGATAGAGACAGGGTTTCACTATGTTGCCCAGGCTGGTCTCAAACTCCTGACCTCGTGACCCTCCTGCCTCGACCTCCCAAAGTGCTGGGATTACATGTGTGAGCTACTGCGCCAGGTCTAGACTTTGATTCTTGTGGGCACACTGATTCCTTTTGTTCCATGGTGAAGTTGTGGACCATGAGAAGGGAGGTTAGTGAGGACCTGTGGGCTGCATGGGTATGTCCTTGCTAAAGGTGACAGGGAAGGAGGGCACCCTTATTAGTCTGTGAATGATGGACCCCGGACCCTGGAATCATCTCCAAACACAGTAGTGTCATCTTGGTAGATGTAATTGATAGGAAGTAAAAACCTGTGGGAGGGGATTTGATATGCATGAAGAAGCCTTTCAGGATAACGGGGGAATTTAGACATCCTGGGTCTAAGTCTCGTTGTCTTGGTTCTTTAGGAACTCTGTCTTAAGTGTGTGCCTTTCCTCTCCTGATAGTGATGAAAGTTTTGTATTTGGGGATTCAGCGTTCATGTTACTGAGGTTTACATGCCACATCTAGTTATTCTGGTTAAACTGCTAATTGGAATGAAGTAATTCAACACTAACGAATTTTTAACAGTATGAACTCCCTGAGTTTGTATCAGCGATGATATCAGAATGAATGTCTAGCCGGGCGTGCTGGCTCACGCCTGTCATCCCAGCACTGTGGGAGGCCGAGGCAGGCGGATCGCCTGAGGTCAGGAGTTCGAGACCAGCTGGCCAATGTGGTGAAACCCTGTCTCTACCAAAAATACAAAAGGGTGGTGCACACCTGTAATCCTGGCTAACCGGGCGCTGAGGCAGAAGAATCACTTGAACCCGGTTGAACCCAGGAGGCAGAGGTTGCAGTGGGCTGAGATTGCACCACTGTACTCTGGCCTGGGTGACAGAGCGAGCGAGAC